CCTACAGGGTGTTAGGCCATTACAGCTTTCTATTTGTCTTCAACCTTCTCTTGTTCAAACTGGTTTAGCGCAGCTTCCTGTTCTGTGTCCACAGTACTTACAACGCCCAGTTCCTGAGCTGAATTTCCCAAACCGGTGTTCTCCGACAACTTCCCCTTTTTATCAGCCATTCCGGTCACTATAGCAATTCTTGCTCCCTTTTTTTCTGATTTTGTTTCAGTTCCTTTCTCCATGTTCGGTTCATCACTCAACCACCCAAAATTGTTTGCCGATCCATTCAAATCGAACCAGTCAATCTGCACATCCCCTTGATCTTGTTTGTCAAAGAACTACAGGTTGTCTAAGTCCTCATCTAGCTCCGCCAGATCATCTAACCCTTGACTCGAGCCATCCTCTCCAACCACATTGACCTCAGCTACAGTTGGCAACACCAATTCTGGCTTGGTTTGATCAATCATCACAATGTAACAGCTTGGATCATATTCCCCCTCAGGCAAGTCCTCAGAGCACTCAGGCAACAGACTCGTACTCTCCTCTAAGGCCAACCTCCCTTCTACTACGACTGTCACCCCCACAGGTTTAGGTTGAAGTGCGGACGTGTCCATCATACACAAATTTGTGCTTTCAAGAATGAACATTGTCGGTCTAGGTAGGTGGGAAGGGGTAATATACACATTGGGGTTGTAAGGGATGGCCAGTGTATGGATTAGGTTTAGATTCTTAGGTGGAGGAACTTTATTGTGGGCCGGAAGAGGGTTTGTAGTCACATTTGCTTTTTGGGGTGATGCAATCACCTTGTTGTCAATGAGGACTTGAATCTCATGACGTAGTCTAAAGCATTGGTCGGTGTCGTGATCGTGCTGCTGGTGAAATACACATCACTTTGCTGGGTTATGTTTTGGTGGGAGAGGATCGGGTAGTAGATGAGGCTCTAATGGCTTGAGGTGCCCTTTTTTAATCAACACCCTCAGGGCTTGGGAGAAAGGCATGTAGAGTGGGGTGAAGGTCCTCTGGGATCAGGTCGGGTTGTTTGAAGTTTATGGAGTTGTATTGGCAAAGGGATTGGCGGTCTTGGTTGTGGTGGTGACAACACTCACATCAGATGGCCACACAGTTGTGCTTCCACTAGTGGTTGCATTGGAACTGCGCACAAAAGGCCTCTTGGCCTACTCTTTCTCATCAGTTATCAACCCCTGTTTCATGGCATCTTCAATCTAAACCTCTATCTCATAGAGCTCGATGAAATTGAACAAGGGTATGATGATCATTTTCTGCAACAGCCTCCAGTGCAGATTGCGGACTACCGTTCTTATCTGGTCTTTCTCAGAAGGTCGTGTGGTCATCATTGAAGCTTTGGCCCGCCACCTCATCATGAATTTTGAAAAGCCCTCATTTGGCTCCTAGCGTGTTGCCTCGAGATCACGAGTTGTGACCTCGATTTGTGTGTTGTATGAGTACGCAATAAGCCTTCATCCACAGGCATTCAAGCATTTAGCCTCATGGTAAGCATGCTAGACATGGCAACAATTACATACATGCGATATGCTAAAGCGAGTAAAGGCTCACCTAATACTCCAAGCCAAAAGAAAGATGAGTTAGAAAAATGCATGATCCTAACTATGCAATATGACTAATGCAACACATGCGATATGTAACTAATAGGCTTGGCTACTGATATGACATATGGCATATGAAACAATTAAATAGCATGCGGTCTAAGCATGTATTCAAAGAATTATTTAAATGACAATGCAAGTTTGAATGATGAACTGAGCCTCGGTGCATGTGACACAAGTGGATGCAAGGCATGAAAATGTTAATGAAACATGCTCTATACTAGCCATCGTAAGCGAATAAATAAAAGGGAGAAAGACGTGGGGTTGGAAGACATACACATTATTACAACATTTGATCCCTTACGCAGAAGGGTGCGAATCAATGTCCGAAAGTCCGAATTAAACTAACTATTACAAAACTGGGCAAAGGAATAATAATTAACTTAACTAAGCTAATTAACTACTTTATTACAACAATTCAACTAGCTAATAATGTATATAAGATTCATATCATGATTAGCAGAGGTCGATCTTTGATTGGGCGAGCGGGGGTGCTCAAATGTATTCATGACCTTCCCCTCTCGTACCTAAGTTCCTGAGCTGAGACAATCTTGGTGATGATGGACATGTGGCCTTTGGCACGAGTCATGGGTTTCCTAAATTTTCCAAAAATATTTAGGTGGTGACTCTGTATCTGGCAAAGCAGTTCATTTTTTTTGGTATTTTTTATTCAAAATTGATTTTCCAAAAGATTTGCCGAATTTGGACTCTTTGGTGTTTATCAATTTCACATTGCACTTGTGAGATTAGATTCAAAACCGCGGGAGTTCGAACTGTAGGGCTTATTTCGAACTTCCGAAAGGGGGTGTGAAAAGGTCAGGCTACAATAATATTTATAATTTAAAAATATAAATTTAAGTAAATTTATATTGATTATGAAATTGTTTCATTTTGTAAAAATGTAAGACATGTCCACAATGAAACTTTTTATGATAGTAATTTTTTTGAGAAATGATAATGTGATTATAGGTTGCCATGATTCTAATGTTTGAATGGATTGGAATGAAATGTATCAATTGAGTCTATTATTGCACTCTATACCCCTCAACTATCGTTAATCTGTCTACTTAGTCTGTAAACTATCAATTGAGTCTATTAAGTCTTTAAAATATATAGATTAAAGTTTATTTATCAATTGAATCTAGTAAGTCCCTAAATTATTTAAATCAAACCTACTTAGTCCCTGAAAATGGTAAAAAAAAAATAAAATTTAAGCTTATAAATGTTACAAATTTGTAAAAGACCCTATCTGATTAATTTTCCATAAGTCCATTCCAACTGCTGACAAAGATAAACATATACTCAAATTAAAAACAATTAGAACTTCAATATATATATATATATAGGAACTACCAATATATATTCTAAAATGATTTTTAGACTTTAGACTTTAGAGGATGATTCTTGTAATTAACCTAATCGATTTCTCTAGTTTTTAAGTTAATAGATCTGTTGTTGGGTGTGAATTCTCTGGTTTTGGAGAGTAAACAAAACTTTCATTAGAACTAAGTACTAGTGCCCAAAGCTGGAAGTTTTCATCCCAAATCCTAATAATAAGAAGCAGTTTTTATTCCTTTAATCTTTTAAACTTATAGTTATGTTTGATTATCAGATTAGGTTGACTACGATAATGCATGGGATTACTAGTGTGGTGACATTAAACTGTAGATGTAAGATAATTGGTATTTGCTTGTGCACCAGTGTAATTGGTTTTGATTAAATTTATTCAATTACGTAAAAACACTTGTTATATAAAATGTAACTATGTTGTCGTAGTCACCAAACCTTTTAATCCAAATGAACTGTAAGAAACCAAGGTAATGTCAGATTTACCATATCCTTAATATCAATGCACTTGAATGCAATTCTGTAAGTATTTAGTAAATTCAATAAATTTTGAAAAGGAAATCTAGGCTATTTGGCCCAAAGTATATAAACTTCAAACAAGTAGAGAGTTTAAAAAGGATACATCAACAGGTCTTGAAACTTGCAAACAGACAATCTACTCTTACCAACCAAAAAAACAGACAGTAAACAATCAAGTCTACAACAGCTTTAACACAACAAAAATCATAAGAAAAACAAAATAAAATATTCTTCATCCCAACTAATTGAGTTTAGACAATATTCTTCACATAGTTGCTTAGTCGACAAAGATCTTGAACTCTAATCAGACCTCAAGTACCTAGGAGAAGAGAAAAACGACTTGGTAAAACTTCAAACAGTATGATGAGAAATGATAAACAACTAAAATAAGACACAAAAAAGAAGTTGAAGCTACTTGAAAATCGGTTTTTTTGGTACCTTATTGAAAAAAGGTATACAAATATGTTATTGTAAACCAATTACTCATAGGAATAGAAAAGGAAAAAGAAAAAAAAAACCATAGAATTAAAGAACAACACTTGCCCTTATCTAGCATCACGTTTTGAGCGTAATTGAATGCAAAATTCATGGAATGGGTGTAACATATAATACATGCAACAAAATGTCAGTTTGCCTTTTGTCTTTCTTCTTTGGCAACTAGTACAATCTAAACAACGCCGCCCTCCTTAGGAACAGATAAGCCTCTAAGGCTTTGAAAGGGATTAAAATAGAGTAGTTGCACAATACTCCATCAGTTGGTATATTTTTCAACCCTAGCCATATGCAGATTAAAAAACTTGAAGTTACATTTCCATCAATTCCGTTATGTGTACAGCCAAAGTGCACTAACCACCATAGTTGTGTCAAGACATTCAAATGCTTCCAGTTTCTAACCAATTTTGTTTTCTAGATTAAGTTGGAGGGGATTATAGGGGAAAAAACTTTGCAATTTTGAAGTTATGAGAGCTGAGGTTCTAGTATCGTGGAATAAGATTTTGGCAATACAGGTTGATTAATATTGATTGATTTTTGCTTATGTATTATTCTTAGTCATATTTGTAATGTGAATCTAGTTGAATTATTTGCTCAAGTTTGCAGAAAAATCGTAGTTTTGACAGAATGAAAATAAAAAACCAAAGGAAAAAAAGAATTTCCATTCGGTAATGAAACCATCATGCTTAATAGGAACCATAACTGATTTTTTGTCACCTTCAAAATGTCAATGTTTAATAATGTGGTCATTTGTGTAAAGTATAGCATATCTAAGGTGTTATGATTTATATGTCACAAGACACACTAAAGTTTGTTGGCCTAGTGTAAAATTACGACAATTTTAGTAATAAATGCAAGTATATTCTTCAGTTACTAAGAAAGTGATAGGGTCATACCTACCCTTGCTCACACTGTAATTCTAGCTCTTCTTCCTCCATGAACTCCATCAGTTCCAAGAAAGTTGTTCTTGATCACAAGCAACTAAGTAACAACATGATTAATGGTTGGTCTATCTCTTGGTAGTTCTTATGAACATGCGATTCCAATATTAAGTATTGAAATAAAGCACTCATAAATTTTATGACTGCCAGTAGAGCTTTGATTCTGAGTGTTTTTGACGCTTGAGCTTCCCTCCCCAATTTCTCTTTGTTGAATTAGTGTTGGATCAACAACACTCACTACTTGTTCAGGTAAAGCCATCTTAGCAAAGTTATGGAGACTCAGACTATCATTAAACATGTTATCAGTAGGTCTCTTCCCCGTAAACATTTCCAATAAGAGGATACCATAACTGTATACATCACCAAATGTCGTCACCTCATTTCCCATACCATACTCTGCAATTGATGCATCATTCAAAGTAAATACAATTGTAAAGATGCTTGGTCAGAAGCATATCAAATAATAATAATAGTAATGTACCTTCTATAGATAACTCTTTGTAGAAAACAAGTTTAGAGCATAAAAAATTTTAATGTTTAAAGTAAGATAGGAAAGAATTATGTCTCTTCTTGGTGAGATAACAATATTTGGTTTGTCTGCTTGTGTCATGAGAAAGGCCCAACTTGAAACAAGTTTGATTGTTTCCCAGTGATATTTATGAAACCAAATAGTTGATGGTTCAATATCTTCTTAAGAAATAAGTAGTTGAAGCTTGGGTGACAGTTTAACTTTATCCAATTAAGTTTGTATTCATCAAACTTATTAACGTAAAAGAAATAGATAGGAGGATTGAAATTAGCAAAAGAGGATTTTCTAATATTCTCTTTATGTTATCCTATGACTACACACATAGGAGATGAACAAAAGTTAGATGTTGTACCGTGTTATGCTTTCACATTTTGCGCCAAGAAAAATACTAAGATTTGAAGGCAAAAATAAACATAAATAGAATTATATGGATTATGATTTGCAGACAACAAGATGGAGATGTACGGAAAATCCTCTAAAACATGGGATTGTATATTATAAGAAAGAAACTAATGAAATTAAGAACCTGCATTCCTTTGAGTTTCATATTTTTCAGACTAAATTATGTGCAACAGAAAAGAAAAAATAATAATTTACTTTTAAATAACACATTGGAAAGCATTTGCCAAACATTGATTTTCCTGCATTTGAAGGGCAAGTGATGTTGCGAGAAATAAAACCAAAGAACCATCTGCTTTACATCATTGATCAAAGTAGCATACTTGATGGATATAGAAATCAAACTCTAAAGTATGTTGGAAATTGAAGGTGAAAAGGAATATTAGAAAAGGGCCTAAGAAATACATTTACCTGGAGCAGCATAACCAACAGACCCTCTTAAGCCAATGGAACTTGATTGAGTTGCAAAAGAATTATAGGTGCCTTCCGGAAGGAATCTAGCTAACCCAAAATCGCCTACATGTCCAATCATTTCATCATTCAAAAGAACATTACTCGGCTTCAAATCACAGTGAACTATTGGTTATGAGCAACGATGGTGAAGATAATCAAGTGTAGAAGCAACATCAACAACAATATTTAACCTTTGTAGAAGGTTTAAATTTCTTGATTCAACATGCACCTCATCTTCATTTTCATTTGCATGTAACCAATCCTCTAGGCTACCATTGACCATGAACTCGTAAACAAGAGCTTTGAAATCAGTACCATTATAGTCAACACTTGAACATGCTGTGAAAACCTTGACAAGGTTTCGATGTCTGATGCGCCCCAAGGTGTCACACTTAGCAACAAAACTCTTGGAAGCTCCACGAAATTGAAGGGTTTAGTACCTTCACTGCAACAACTTTTTCATTGTGATCAAGAATTCCTTTGTAGACTGAACCAAAACTACCCATGCCTATCATGTTGGCTGGAGAGAACCCATCAGTTGCCTTGAGTAGACTTTGGTAGGACAATTTCACTTATGACTTCCCTAAAAATCTCAAAGAGGGTAGTTTTGTTGTCTTTCTAAAGCAACAAAGATATAGCAAACACAACACTATTACCAGACCCAGAAGCCCAAACGATGTGGGGATTATTATTTTCAAGATGAGTGTAAATCTTTTCCTTTTGAATCCCTTGGCATTGCAACTGTGCAAATGTAGTTTAGGTATACCACCACAAAGCTTGTTGTTTCCTCTAATGGAAATAGCCGTTACATTTTTAAATATGCCTATTTCTGGTAGCACACCCTCAAAATCATTGAATGATAGATCTAATTTTTGTAAGAAGACAAAGCCCTCTAAATAGCCTGGGATTTTTCCTAAGAAATTATTGTGAGAAAGATCTAATTCCTCAATACCTCTCAAATAACTTAAAGATGAAGGAAGAGTTCCCAGAAATTATTGCTCTATATATATAGAAATCTCAATTTTACACAATTACCAAGAGTGCTTGGAATTTTTCCAGACAACATGTTCCTAGAAACATCTAATTGTTCAAGATTTATTAAATTCCCAATTTCTAGTTGTATGGACCCAACCAAATGGTTATCAAGTAGGTACAAGTTCAATGATGTTGAGAGAGTTAGAACTTGTTTGGGTATGGTACCACTAAGATTGTTTCCATCAAGAGCCAGATCTACAAGGGGGCATTTTCCCAAACTTGGAGGAATGTTGCCATGCAAGTTATTTCCTCCTAAATAAAGATACGCTAGTGGAGTCAAATTTTTCGAAGACAATGGAATTTTCCCATTGAATTTATTACCTGAGAGATCCAACATTTGTAGCTTCTGTAGCTAATATTTCTCAAAATAAGTATTGGTAATAGTTGTTACCAATGAAATGATTGTTTGTCATGTCCAAAGCCTGGAAATTGACCGAATTCGCCATCTCGGTTGGGATGCTCCCACCTATTTTATTGTTTTCCAATATAAGGCTGCCAAGATTAGTGGACAAATTGCCAATTGATTCTGGAAACACCCCTCCAAAGTTGTTGGAGCCCAGAGCCAAAATGTTCAAATTGGTGGCATTGGGCAATGAGCTAAGAAAATTCAAGTCACCAGCTTCCCCTGTTCCAAGATGATTGTCTTGAAAGTTTAACCACAAAAGATTGTGCATCATTCCCAAAGGAGGCACTCTTCCAATAAATTCATTTCCTACCAAGTCAAGGTGATGCAGGTTGGTTGCATTTGATATTGAAATAGGAATGGATCTAGTAAACAAGTTTATTCCAACTGAAAACCATTGAAGAGTTGGAAAAGAATCTCCAAGATCTAAGGGAAGTCACCCTTGAACTTGGTTCATTGTTAAATCAAAAGTTGTGATGGAAGACAGATTAAAGATTGAGGAAGGAATAGTACCAACCAACTTGTTACTCGCCAATGCAAGAAAGTTTAAGTTTGTCAATCGGCCAAGGGCTTCAGGTATACTCCCATTGATATTATTGGAACTTGCATAGAATACAATAAGGGATGATAGATTCCCAAAAGTATAAGGAAGGCCACCTGTTAGATTGTTTCTTCCCATGTACAACCCCTCAAGCTTAGACAGAGAACCAAGCTCCACGGGAATTTTCCCAGCCAGACTATTGCCAGTAAGCTCAAGGAAAACAAGGTTAGAGCAAGCAAATATATTGGCTGGAATTTCACCAGCAATAGAATTATTGAGTAGTGTCAATAGTTGCAGTCTCCGTAGATGGCCAAGTTCAGGGGGGATTTGATGAGTGAAGCTATTGTTACGCAACGACAATACCCTAAGAAAGCTCAGATTTCCAATGTGAGGCGAAATTGAGCCTGTCAATTTTCGATGATCCAATTTCAACTTAGTCACTCTCTGGTGTCGTCGGCCACATGTTATGCCAGCCCATTGACACAAGTGGATGGATTCATTCCACGAGTTTGGAGCCCCGAAGGGATCACCGGTTATTTCGGCCTTGAATGCGAGCAAGGCTAGCCAATCCATCTCATTCCCGACTACATGAACATGATGACGATGAGTACTAGAGCCTGAACCACCCAAACACGAACACCCCATGAGAACAAAAACAACAACAACAACATGCATGAACTGAAACAGAGTCCATGACATTGACGACACTAATATTAAACCCATATGTGGACTGGACGCTCTCATTGAATTTGAGAGAGCATCCATCCCTATATATAAAGCACGAATACCTGCGGACGAAAATTTTGGCCTCGCCAAAATTACTGCATTGCCCCTTTGCTTATATCATACATTAGTTTTATCAAAATTACTCAGCCACCTTTTTATATTATATTTTTTTTATTGATAAATTAAAAGTTCAAAAAATGTACTGGTAATCGGATATAATTATACTAATATCTTTTAAAATTTTAACTTACATAATACTTAGGCTATTTTTTATCATCACATCACCAATAATTTGTTATCATCAATAATTCGATAATTGTATGAATGTAAAAATAATTTTGTCATATTATCTTTGTTTATTTCATTATCTACTCCCTATTGACATTACTTTTGATTACTTTAACCATACAGAAAATAATATTAATATAATTATGCAAAAAATGTGAGGCTAATTATATTTAATTTAATTATGTTAAAATTCAAACAATGTATTTTTTCTAAGCCTCAAGGGTAGCGAATGTAATGGGTATGATTCCCCTCCATACTCATATTCTCTATACTTCCTAATACTTTATTTTTTTAGGCTTCATTCTAGGCTTATAATGAAGACCGTCTGTGCAAAAAATCAATTTCATCGGTGAATACATAAATAAATCACTTTTTTTATTTTATAGAATGAAAGGTTTAAATTTAAATTCACAATTAAAGAGATAGGGGTGTTGTGTAGCATAATATTTCTCAAAATAAGTATTGGTAATAGTATTAGAAGGTAAAATAACTAAAATTAATAAATACATAACTATAACGCTGAGTGTAGAATTTTTTTTAATGTGTTTGGTTTCTTTCATGTTGGGGATTTAATTTGAGAGAGTATTTTGGGCTTAGTGGGCCCATTGTGAGCCAAATTTCTGTGATCCAAATTGTTTACTTTTTAATACTCATTGATAAGAGTATTCATATAAAAAATTCAGATTATTGAATTTTGATAGTTATATGTTTGAATTCCATTTATGTTTGAATTTTTATGGTGTTAATTTTCTTTTAAAGTTTTTTTTTTTCTTTGCCACAACTATATTTTCTTTTTTTCTTCTCTTGGTTTAGATAGCACTTATATTTATAGTTTACATTGATTTCTTTACGTTATCTTATGGTTTACATTTTTAATCCTTAAGTTAAAATTTAATATCAAAATTGGGGTTTTGACTCCTCTGCTACAAATGGATATTTATATAGATAAATAAATAAAAAGTTTTGAATAATTGTTTTAAATATTTTAAGAAAAAAATTTATTTTACTCATTTGCGGTTCAAGCCATGAGCACTTTATTCCTCTATGATTCAAATATTATCAGAAAGTGTCTATATGATTTTGGACCAAAGTACAATTGTTAACTTCCTTAACTATAATTGTGAAATGGCTATAATACCCTCTAACCCCATCCTTTTTTTTTTTTCCTTTTCTCTCATCTCACATACACATAATTTAATAATAATTCAATTAATCATAAATTCTTAATTATTTATTATAATTCCTCTTTTTAATCTAATTTTAATTTAGTTATATTTTAAATCAATCCTTAATTATTATTTATTTTATATTTTAAATTAACTTTTAATTATATTTTATATTTTACATCAGTCTTTAATTGTATTTTATTTCTATTATCATCTTAATCTCATTTTAGGTTTGGAGAAAATGGAGTTAAGTATGTCTTTTTGTTTTGTTAATTTCAATTTATATTTTTAGAAAATTAAGTCTGCTTTACAAAATAATGAGTGTGATACAACTTTTATTAGTTTGGATGGAAAAATTAACGGTATCACTTTAGTCCAAAATTATGTGGGGACTTTCTAACTATATTTGAATCATAAACAGGACTTTCCAATTATATTTGAATTATAAAGTGGTAAAATACTCCTGTCTCAAATCATAGGGGTAATATGAATTTTGCCCATGTTTTTAAATTTATAAATGATTTCTAACTCAACAAATGAATATGTACAAAAAAAACTAATATTTAAAAAAAAAATGAGTTTGATTATTTATTTTTTATTTTTAATTTATATTTCAACTAATATTTAACTCAACTAAATTTTTTTAATTTTAAATTGATTTTTTCAATTGAGTTGTGACCAATAGGTTTTACTCCTAAATTTTGAATGTTTAAAAGACCTTACAAAATGAATTTCTTTAAAAAATAAAAAATAAAAAATAAAAAATTGATGTTTAGTTTGGGAATAGACTATTTTACTAATTTTTTGACTAAAATATGAGGTGAAAAAATTATTATATTTAGAATGATTTTTAAATTTTTAGAAAAAAAAAGTGTAAAAAATGGAGAGAAAAAAATCTTTTACTTTTGTTTAATTCTTTGGCTTTTTAATGTTTTTAGTGATGTTTTTGAATTTTTAACTATCTTTTTGTTACCAAAAAATAAATGATCAATAAAAAAAATATATCTAATTATCTCACTCACTAATTTTAAATTATACATTTTGTAATGGGCATCATTTGCTCGCATAGTGCGCAACACATCCACTACATCTTTTCTCAAACAAATACATTTCTAAACATTTCTCAATGAACAGATACATTTCTAATGAAATGAATGTAATGCAATATCCAATGCAACAAATGAGGAATGTGGTTCAATTTACCTAAGTCTCATGGATTTCTACAACAATCATGGTTATTCTCTACCGATAGCCCAAAAAAGATATTTCTAAACAGATATACAACCTTTACAATAGATAAATTATCCAAACTTCCACAGGTGAGAGATTAAACAAATCTAACTACACTATTCATGTAAACAATCTCTCAATTTCATACTTTCAATACGAATTTGATTATTTATACAAAATAATTATTCAAGACATTTTAGGGCAAAATTCCCTTTCTCCTCATCTTATCCCAAACACCAAAATTAATCGTTTTACACCACACAATCCCATAACCATTTCCAATACGTTCATTTGAAAGCCCCTTTTTCGATTTTAACCCAAAACCCTAGGTTTGTTCAAAATCACAACAAGTTCTAACATTTCTTACACATCAACAAATAACTAAGTTAAAGCTCATAGAAGAGTGTAGAAAGTCGCTACTTCAAACTTAGAAGACCAAAGGAGCAAAGGAGAAACTTCAAGAGCATCGAAACCAAGCTTTATTCAGATCAAAACAGAGCTCTAGGAATGCTCTATCCTTTTTATGAAAGAAAGTAGGGTAGAGAGATCCTTAATCTAGGTGTATTTGAAGAGAGAAGTGGTGCTCTAGAGAGAGAGAGAGGGTTGGTCTAGGGTTTTCAACAAAAAAATGTGAAAAAGTGATGTAAAAAAGTGTTTTTGCGAACTGATATACGCACAGCTCGTTCGAGCGCAAGAGTTGTCGCTCGAGTGACCAAACACAAACAAGTCACCTCGCTCGAGCGCAGAATACACACTCCCAGAAGTTTTACAGACAGAAGACCGTCACTTGAGTGCAAGAGTCCTCGCTCGAGCGAAGAACACTACCCTCCCGGTATATATTTGCAGGCCTGCAAAAGTACTGGGAGCTCACAAAGCTCACTGGTGAACAAAAAGCTTCGCTTGAGCGAAGAGGCCAAAATCTGGACAACAACAATTTGAACCAACTAGTGACCAACCTGTTCCACACACAACCAAGGCACTCCAATACTCAATTTCAATGAGAATTAAGGGAAAAGAGACAAGAACAACAATACAGATTCATGAAACTTGGGCTTGGGATACAACAAGGGTCGGGTCAAAACCAGAATTGTTATAACCTCCCCCTCTTAAGGAATTTCGTCCTCAAAATTTCAAATCAAGTTTTACAGTTATGCTTAAATCGATTACAATAAGGATCATCAATCAATTCCATCATCATGACCCATGCCCCGGTCATCCATTCTCATCAACAAGATGAACAGTTTCTTAGTATTGAATACATAATTCATATTTTCCAAAGCATATGCAATGTTCACATTAATTAAACCCATGTTTCCAAAA